AGACTCCCTGTTGGGGCCCCCCATTCCTCGGTATCGACCATGATGCCCCGCCCCGAAGTGCCGGGGAACCAGGACTGGCTTCCATGGCCACGGAAACTCGTCGAGTCGGACGGAATGACCGCGCAGCCGGCGCGGGCGTGGAGAAGGCCGCGGACTTGTGTCTTGGGATCATGAGGATGGACCTTCCCCCCCAGCTTACAGCCCACGGAAAAGCCGACATTTCTCCAGGGCGGGCCACAGAGAGGAAAGAAGACGGAGGGTCAGCCCCTGCAGAGCGCCGCTGCTGTTGTCTGCGGGGAAGCGCTGTTCGCAGTGAGCCCGTCGGCCGCAGACACCCGGGTGTCCTCTCCCCACCCTCCGCGCACCCCCGCCGGGCGCACCGGCGGCCTCGCTCCAGACCTCAGCCCTCCGACCACACGCTCGGCTCTGGGGGAGGCAAGTGGACCAGGCGGGGGACGCACGGGGCTTCCTTTGAAACCGGCCCTCCTTGGCTCTGGACGCACATTTCTCCCAAGAAAGCCACCTCCACTCCCAAGCACCGAGTGACCCACTGGGCTGGAAGTTCAGGCCAGAGAGATGAGGAAATCATTGCTTGTAGTTCATTCTCAACTACGTAGACAAATGGCCATAAATATTTATGATGGGAAATTTCATTATTTAAAAATTCTGTTCTAAATTTCCAGCTAACTGCATGAAGAGTGCCTGCTGAACAGGTTGCAAATTAAGAACAATTATTTTTCTCTTCTGCATTTGAACAGAACTTACAGCAAAAGTCATTTAAAGGGGTTAACATCCACCTTAATTAAATATTAAAGTGTGCCTGTACCTGCCGCTATTGTTGCCCCTTCGAATAAGATATAACCTATTTTTGACAAGTTTTCATCTTTCTCTGTGGAAGACGCTACATGAAACCAAATCAGCGGCAAAGAGGAGGGTAATGAATAATCTATTTCATATTCCAGCAGTACCCAGAGCTCAGAGTGGAAAAATATTCAGTCAGATGATGGCGAGAGGCTGCTGGGGTACCACATGACACAGCTGATGTTTAAATAATAATAATAAAAAAGCGATAAACAAATCATTAGCCCTTAACAGTTGTTTAATGCAATTTGTTAATGAACGTAATGGTGAGGACTAATAATGAAAGAAAATAAAAGCGTCTAAACAGGAGCCAAGTTGCTGGCGATGCGCAATTATTTCCTTGTCAAGTTTTTATGATTTAATGAGCCCCTCTGGGACTGATGGCTGTCAGTCAGTCGTGACTTTTTGACACCATTACAACTTCAAATACAGCAGCAGGCAGGCTGTTTTCCTCGGATTTGAAATACTGAAATGATCTGACAGTTTTAAAGAAAAGATGTGCCAAAAAAAAAAAAAAAAGGAGAGGGAGAGAAAGACAGTTGCTTTCCTTCCTTTCTTTTTCTCCTCCGCTCCCTTCTTCTGTGGAGGAGATAATCTCTGGATGCTGTTTGGTAATGAAACCCAATCACTGAGGTCATTATCTGATGAGGTTTTTGGAGCAGGCAGGCTTTTCCCCCTTTATTTCTTTACTTAATGATAACCCTCAATGGGCTTGCCCCGCATGGGACGGCCAGAGCCGCACAATTTTGTTCACCATTAATTTCAGCCTTTGAAGCTCAGGGCTCAGAAGCAGTAGCAAAGCAAACCCCCCACCAAGCTGGTTCCAAAATAAGACAATCCAGCCTGCCTTAAACAGAATAGCAAATGGCCTCCCAGCCCAGGCTGGCGCTGACGTCAAGCCCACTGCACTTGCAGGCATTTGCCTGCAACGTGGAGCATTTAAAACTCTTTACAACTTAAGAGACTTTAATTAAATTGCGTTTGATTCTGGAGCAGGGCGGCATCTGCTTTATTTATTCTGTCAGGGAAACTGTTTGGTCTGCAGTGAATTTTGTATGGCAAGGGCTTCCTCCTCCTCTCCCTCCTCTGCATCTTCATCACCCCCTGCCTGGTCCCGCATCAAACATCATTTTAACAGTATTCTCGAGTCTAGAAACATTCATCAATGTAAGTCTACGTATTAAGTTCCTAGAACCTTTCCCAGATCCATGCCCTGCTTCGAATTTGTGGCCTTTCTTCCTTCCCAGTGGAGCGTGGAAGGAGGAGGGACAGTCTGTCTTCGGGCTCCTTTGAGTTTCTCCTACGGCATCCAGGAGGGCCAGGTGAGGAGTTAAGGGGACCTTTGGACCAGCTTCCTACAAGGCACTCACAACCCCAGGCTGGGGGGTCACTCTCGAGGTGGCTTTGATGGGGCAGTTTGGCCAAGAGTTACCTGTTCATATTCTTTCCACTCTCAAGGTTGAATTGGGGCAAAATCTCAGGCAAGAGCTGATAAAGAGAACCCCGAAGAAAAGGCCACTGAACGGTGAGCCACGCACTCCTTCATCTACTTCAACATGAGCATGAGATTTTAGTGAAATATTTAGGAGCCGGGAAATTCAGATGATCAGATAACCTGGCTTGCTATGTGGCCTTGGGAAGAGCCTAGAAATGTGAGGTGTAGCTGGAGGACTGGCTACACGCCTGAGCCAAGATCAACAGTTTTGAAGGAAGCCATGGGAGAGGCTGGGACACTCCTTCCCCACCATTAGTATTTCAGAACAAGAAGGAAATGGGTTGTTTGTTTCCTTGCTTTTTAATGGTTTCTTCGATGTGTTCAGCACGTACAGAATTCTGTTATCAGAATAAAGAATTCTCGCTGAGTGGATCCCTTAAGCCGATGGGAAAATCAGTACAGCCTTCCCACTCCTTGGTTGGCCTGTTTCGCTCTGGCAAAATCTCACACCATCCCCACAAAGTAAAGGCTGCAGCTCTCTTTACACAATACTAAATGATTTATCGGAACAGGATTTCTCTGGTGGATTTTGCCATTCTGCATTTCCTCCCTAAACCATAATGGTTCTCTTCTGAGTTGGGGGGAAAATATATGAAGTGCTGCATCTAGGTGATCTCCAGCCATGGGCACAGGTGGTTAGCATTTTTTATGAAGAGAATGGGTTTGCTTTTCAAGGACTCAGAGCTTCCAATTATATTCAAAAGACAGTGTGGACCCTGTAAGTGCCTATGAAGTCTTAAAGAAACACACGCTTTGCTTCATGACTAGGGGGAAAATGACCTCAGCTTGGGCAACTCGAAGCTCATCATAAATGAACTCATTTTGAACGCTATTCCCAGTTACCACGGACAGAGAGAAACCAAAGAAAATCACAAAGCCCGTTAGAGGTTTGAATACATCGTGAATTCAGGAAGGCTGTGCCGACATTTGTTAGTGAAAAACCCAAGCTGTCTCTTTGCAACGCGCTGCAATCCCTTTTCTTTTAAAGAAGGTTATCACACATTTTCCACAAAGTTTATTCCTAGTGGATCACCCTATAGGACTCTACCATATTTATAATCACATTTGAAATTTCACACTGACGGAGTCATGTTCTTGCTCTTCCTGAAATATTCATGTTCTCTTTACATACCGGAATGGATGTGGAGAGAACCTTGTCAGACCTTTTGCATGTATGAGGGCTGCTTTTGGCAGCGCAAATATTAAAACCGAAAGGATACAGGAATGCTTACACAGGTCAGGGGAGAGGAGGTCACAATTAAATACGGAGCCAGGGCTCGCTCTGCCAGCAAATTCTGGGGAGTCTGGGATTTGGGGAAGGTATGGAAATATTTCTTGTAGCCAGTAATCAAAGTTGTGAAAAGTGGATATTGGGCAGGCTCAGCAAAAATATTCTTGGGTGTAAAAAAAAATTACGCATAGAAAAACAGAGAAAGTGCTAAGTCAATTTCCTGCACAACTGACGTTAACTGCCCACCTTTACAATGAAAGCACTCAGGCGGGTTGACTATGTTCATTATGCTAGGGTGGGAACAGGGCTGGTGAGCTGAATCTGGTCACTGGCTCTGATCCCTGCTTTTCTCTGCATTTTTAGCCTTGGACATCACAGAAGGGCAATTTGGTGACAAGAGGTGTGTGACAAACAGCACAGCCCATCAGAAGCCCCAGTGACAGACTTATTATGCCCTCTTCCAAACCATGACCCCTGACATGTCCACAGGGCAAGGAAGACTGTCACCAAGGCTATTTTGGTCAGTAGGTGAAATTACCAAAAGGCAAATAAACCCTCACCTTCCCCTATAAAAAACAAATCTGGGTGAAGACAAACCTAGAAAAGGACACCAACCCACATGCAAATAAGAATAAAAAATATTTTTACACTCTTTGCACTCCAGCTGAACAGTGGTGAGAGGGAGGGAGGGTCATTCAGGGTCTGTCAGTGCAAAAGAATGATTCATGTGACCATTTTGTCTTAATTACTCAGAACAAGCCGCTGTTGCTGTTTATCAAGGACAAGCCGATACATCAGTGTCTTCTGACAGAAAAAGCGATGGCCATCAGGATGGTGACGACCAGGATGACGGCCAGGACGACAACCAGGATGCGGTTCTGGATGATTCTAGGAGACAGCAAAGGAGAGAGAAACTCACACAGATGATCGGAGGACATTCTGACAAAGACCATCGAAGATCAAGTTGGCTAATCAAACGATGGCTTCACAGGATGGGGTGGGGAGCCCGGTGTGTGTGGGCATGTGCCTGTGTGTGTGTGGTCATGTGTACAACCATACAGCTTTTTGGTTCTACAAATGATCCACAAGGAAATGTATAACTCCACAGTGACTGTAACGCTGCACCAGGAGAAATCTTCGTGCGAAGCTCTGGTGAACCGATTGGCTTTCTGGGTTCAGAGTGCCATGTGGTGATCTTTAAGTGATAGCATCTTTTTTTTAATTCAACATGTGAGACAAGCCTCATTTTTTTTGGCAGTGTTTCCGGTTAAGGTAATAGACTCCAAGGAAACATATGTCAGTAAGGTACTCACCTGTACAAAAACACCCGAGGAAAAGTAAAAAAGAGACGTAGGAAGAAAAGGACAGGATTAAGAGGCAAGTGTCAAGCTTGCAGCTCAGGCTGGGAAACTGTCATCTGTCACTGGGGCTCACACTCCGTGACGCCAAGAGGAAACATTACATTTGCTCCATAACAAAAAAAGATGGAAATGAGAAATAATACCAAGTACCCAAGTGCTTCGTAGGTTTTGGTTGGTGGTTCCTCATCTCCAGAGACTCCAACCCCCTCAGCTCTGGCTTTGCCAAATGCTGATGGGGTACTGAGGAGAATCGGAGTAGAGAGACCCGCTCCAAGATGCCTGCACAGAGCTTTTGATGAAACTGTTTCATAATTTGCTACCTCATACTGAGAAAGGAGGTCGAACATCGGAATGCTTTGCTGAGAGCTTCAAAGGGAACTGAGGTCAAACTGCCTCGCCCATGCTCATTCCCACATAACCAACCACAGAAAAATGGAGAGTGGTTGGCAGGCTAGCTGGCTATCCACCCAGCTAAGACCCTGTAGCAAACCCCATCTGCCCATCCTCCAAATATGAAGCACAGAAAGGTCTGCTGTCTTAGTCTTGACACAGATCACTAGATCTTCTGATGGGTGTCCATCAAAAGAGCTAGGTGGGACTAGCCAGGCGCCTAGCTTAACAGAAACCCCACCCTTCTACATCACATCTTCCAGAAGAAATCTTTGCAGGATGTTCACAGCCTTTTCTAGCTTCGGGATGAGTTTCTTTCTTGGAAGGATGACGACACCTTTATGGTTTCAGTCAGACTCCTCCTTGCCCACCCCCTTCTTGCCCAAACCTAAATGGATGGATGGAGACCGACACATCAGACAGGCCCACTCCCTTTTGCCACTTGGAAGGACTTGCTCCCTCTCCTCCTGACAGGTTACAAAATGATCACATTTGCTGACACGTCTTCCGCAAAACTGCTTTAGTGCCTGTGTCCACTTTCCTGGAAGGAGATGAATGATCTGCTCGGTCCTCATTCATCACGTACGGCTCAGCTAAGATCTGTCTCGTTTATTTCTTCCCTTCCCCACTAGAAAGGCTGTGCCCCGGCATTAATTCTTCTGCGATGACAGCTAATTCAGACTTAACAGGCCATATTTACTCAGGAGGCAGGAAGATTCTCTGCCCCCAAAATAAATAAGAACAGGACTTCACGGCTTGGTAAAGTGGGGCTAATTATGAACACTGATTGGTGCTAGTTGGTAGCTTGATTTAAAACTCAAATTGATTTTCTCCCCTTTTCTCTGGAAGGGGCATAAGTCTTCAGAACAGTCCCTACACATCCTGTTTGCCCAAGTCATTGTTACAGTCTCTATTTACCACAGTCACCCACATCAGACTTGCAAAGGAAGTCAGCAAAACTGAAACTCAGCAGTGAAACAGATTAAAAGCATGAAAACTCTTTAAAATTCTGCCTTACATACTATTTGGTAGCATGTCTCTTGGTTGACAGCCATTTTATTTGTGGGTTGAGGGCCCCAAGGCATCCATGCTGCTCATTTATAAAGGATTAACTGTGGACGTTACTTGTTCAATCTGAGGCACGGTTAGGAAAACAAATGCATAGGAATCCTAAATCCTCAGCTCTTCTCTGGCCTTCCTAATTGGGCTTCCCTCACCTCAAGGCAAAGAGGAGTGAACAGCACCCTTGATCTTTCCTAACAGCTCGTATCTTTAGTTCACTCACCAGACACCCCATCCTAAGACAGATGTCCTGGGTCACAATCAGAAAGACTGAATTGCCCATTGCCTCCTTGGTGGGTCCACAGTCGCCTCTCCAGCCCCAGCGTGCCGCACAGTTACTGACACACTGAACTGTCCAGAGGATGATGAAAGAATGCAGCCCTAAAATCGTCACCCTTCCATTCAAGGGAGAATGAAGATCTGGGCAAATTTAATTCGCAGGAAAAGCCCAGGCTTAAAGTTAAAAGTTGAAGTAGCCCTGGCTGGTGTGGCTCAGTTGGTTGGGTGTTTTCTGGTGCATCGAAAGGTTGCCGGTTCAATTCCCAGTCAGAGCACATGCCTAAATTGCAGGCTCAATCCCTGGTAGGGGGCGTGCAGGAGGCAGCAGATTGATGTTATGCTCTCACATCGATGTTTCTCTCTTTCTGCCTCTCCCTTTCTAAAAGTCAATAACAAATCTTTAACAAAAACTTTGTAGTAAACCCCGGAACTCCATACCATCGTGCATTTTCAGAGCACTACTGGGTCTTCTCTGTAAAGCTGGGAGAAGGGATGGTCCTCATGGAAGTGAGGCTTGTGCTGGCCGGAGGAGGTTGGCAGGAGAAAGCATTTGCTTTCAAACCAGAGGCTGGCAGATACTTGGGACAAGTGGGTTACAAGGCACAAAGAGAGTTGGAGCAGACAGAGTGGCAAGTAAGCTTGACTCTGGCCAGGCCATCAACCCAGCTTTGGGTCTCAAAGGTGTTGGGTAGATACAGCATCTCTGAGGACGAGAAAGAAGGGTGGCGGGGGCCCTTGAGTAGACAGAGCTCCCCTGGGGGCAGAGAGGACAAATCCTGCCATGGGGGGCCCATCTGTGAGGAAGCCTGCAGGCTGGCAGGCAGGCACTGCTGTCGGCGCAGGAGGAAGGCCGAGTTGGGGAGAATCTGAAAAACAGCCAGGGAGAGGGGTTCCCAGCTACTGAGCCAGAGAAGAAACTTTGGGGGAGCCTAAGGAATCTTCCTCCTTAACTTTGGGCAGGAGTGTGGGGTGGGATTTATGTTCAACTAGGTATGCAGCAAGCAGTCTTAATCTCCCTTTTGAAAATGCAAAGTGTGTTTACCCAGTAAATAATTTAAGAAAGAATATACACTTGAAAGAAGACATCCATTGAACCAGCCAGGCTAAATTGCCTCCAGGCAAAAACTTGTGCATTTGCATGCTGCCTTCTATTAAGTGAGCACACTGTGGCTTTAAAAGAATGCAGAGCCAAATTAAAAGGAATGTGGGCCCAAAACATCAAGGATTCTCCAAGTTTACATTATGAATCACAGTGCTGTTGATACAAGATGAATTAACCATTTACTTTGAGGCTGAACTCACAAAGTACTATTGAAAATACTGATCCTATGCAGGAACCCAAGGAGGGGCTAATCTTTCCATTGCCAGTCTCCTCCCCCTCTGGAAACAAGCTGCGTGTGGCAGCGGGAGTCACAGAAGACTGGTTAATGTGCAGTGGGCCAGCGAGGCACCTGGCACAGTTCTCTGCTCTCGCTTGAGGAGCCAAGAATTCCACTGTAGCAGGCGTTACCAGCCTGGGACATATGGCCCAGGCAGGCCCAGCTACTTACAGCTCTCTATCCTGCACAACTAGTTCTCTACTTCTAGGCACAGACTGCCCTTACCTACCCCTCTATGTTCAGTGTGGCCATGTGACTTGTTTTGGTCAATGAAATGTGAGCAAAAGTGCTGGGTGTCACTTCCAGTGTTTGACTCTCCAGCTGACTCTACCATTGCTGTTCTGGTGTAGGAGGCTGTAGGTCCCAGGAGTGCAGTTAGAGAATGGTGGAGATCCCTTCTCTCTCAATCCCGGAGTCATCACATGGAGGGATATTGCCCTGGACTCACTGTGGATGTGTACTAAGCCAATGAGATTTGGGGGTTGTCTGTCACCGCAACTCTCCTGAGTGATACACTACTGTCCCCCTTCTCCAACAAGATGGGTGTTTGGCCAAGCCAAGTGAGGCTCTGGTTTAATGTATTCCAGAAGCCAAGGTATGATGAGGGTAGGTAGGACTTCTTTCCTTTAAGAAACAGCCTTTTGCCTCTTGGTTTTCAAAAGCTGGGGTCCTCTTCTGTTCGTATTTGGTCATAACACCTCTTTTACTGAAGACTATGGAGTTTCCTCTAGCTGTACCCAATGCCGGTGTGCTGATGAGCGATGGGATCACACATGATGTTTCAGAAGGCTCAGCTAGGCACTCTGCTTCCCATGTACAGCAGACATGTGGTTGCATTCATTTATCAATTCCACACATTTGACACTAGCCTTTCTCCAGGGGTAGAGCTGTGACCTCGGCTAAGATGGTCAATGTGTTCCATGCCCTCGGCCAGTGACTGGAGCAGGCATGTGACTTCAGCCAGTCTAATAGAGTGAATCTCAGAAGGTCTGACTGCAATACTGGGTCATCTGGACCGTGTGGTGATGGATGTTAGGCCTGGACCTGCTGCAGCCATTTTGTTTCCTTGAGGAAAACCAGCCTAAGAAAGAAACTGATCCATGGAGGATAGTAGATTAAAGAATGTCAGAGAAATGGAATCTAAGTCCTGAAGATATGATGAACCTCGATATCAAACCACCCTTCCTTTGACCTTTTAGTTACATGAGAAAATAAATTATTTTTCAAGTTGGCTTGAGTTAGGTCTTCTGTTATTTGCAACCAAAAAGCATTTTTTGGGGAGTCACCTTGATTTCAAAACCAAGTCTTTGATCTATTTTCCCCACCTCTTCCAAGAAGAATTTCCTGACCACGCCCCTCTTTTGCGCTTATGTTTCCCTGTGCATCTCTCTTACCACTACACTTCCCATATAGTTTT